TGGGTGAGGATTAATTAAAAAAAGAACTACTGGATTAAGGTATTGCCCCCTAATATAGGAAATTACATCAATAGCCACTCTGAAGTTGAGATTTGATTACCTAAATTTGAATAGTGGATATGTCCAATATTGGTGGAACTATTGAGGCCCTGGGTAAATTACGTTTTTTCTCATTGTGGTTTGTCTGTGCAGTGCACAAACTGTGTGGCTATACAAAGTGGTGATATATCTGGCCCTTATACTTATATCTCACCATCACAGTCAGTATTTTATTATAGCTGTTATGATTTTCTAAAGGGAGTTACTATTGAGCTATCAGAAGAAATAAAGCTCTTCTAAGTGACCAGTTTTAGGGTATAATATAGGTTTTGGTGCTATTGTTTTGTTGAGCACACGTTTTGTGTCAAACATTAAGAGGATGGGATTAATTCAATTATTACCTCTCCCAGGGAAATTTGATACTAATACAACTATAGAGACCATGTGCAACTTGGGATTTTGTAGCAATTTGTAATGTATGTTAGATATGTGCCTTCTGTGTGTACTTTTAATTCCATTCCTCCACCTGTTCAGTAGTTATTTATTGAGTGTTAGTGGCAGGTTGTTTACTGCATCAGAATATAAAGTTGAATATGGTGGTACTGTCCCTGAGGAATTACTCTGGCTTAGGGTAGAGGGTAGCAGGATGTAACCAAATCTTCAGTCTTGGCCCAGGACCTAGTAAGGTCTAGAGGAAGCTGTTTCTAACAGCAGGGTTTTCCCTGCCTGTCCCTTGAGGTGTCACCCTGTAGGCAGAACCCAGGACAGAGTTGAGCCCACATCTTGAAGAAGGCTGCTGTGAACACACAGGTTTCCTCAGACATATCAAACATCAAAATGTCTGTTTTGCATGCATACTTATGATCATAACAACACAATCTGTTTCTACTGGTAAAGCTGTTACATTTGAAGGTAGATCCCAGCCACTGATTAGAGAACGCAGGTGTCTCCTTCCCCAGAGCCTCCTTGTACCTCTACAGCACCCCCAGCGGCAAGGATGAAGTGCCCTGATCCCAGCGCTGCTGGAGAAGACAGTCCCTGGCTCCATTTCCATCTTCTCTCTGCAGGTCCATTTCCTCTCCCAGGACAAAGGTAAAAGGTGTCTCGTAGAGGGCAAAGGGAGTTCCTTTGTCAAATGGTTACCAGTGGCATGGAGAAAGTTAATATACCTCTTAAAATTAGTATATGCTTCCTTTTTTCATTCATGGAATCCTCCCCTTTTTATGTTTAAAATCAAGATATTAAAGGCCCCGTGCATGAAATTTTTGCACAGGGGGACGGGGAGGAGGGAGATCCCCTCAGGAAGGGTCTCCTCAGCCCAGCCTGCACTCTGTCCAATCCAGGATCCCTTGGGGGATGTCCGACTGCAGATTTAGGCCCATCCCGGGGACGGGCCTAAACTGGCAGTCAGACATCCCTTTCACAATCCTAGACTGCTGGCTCCTAACCACTCACCTGCCTGCCTGCCTGATCATTCCTACTGCCCCCCTCCCCAAGCCTGCCTGGTCACCCCTAACTGCCTCTGCCTGCTAGCCTGATTGTCCCCAACTGTCCTCCCCGCCGCTGTCAGCCTGGTTGCCCCACATAGCCTGCTGTTCAGTTGTTTGGTCGCCCCTCACTAACCCCCCTGCCAGCCTGGTCGCCTCATGCAGCCTGCTCCTCCATAGTTTGGTCTCCCCTCACTAACCTCCCTGATGGCCAGGTCGCCCCACACAGCCTGTTCAGTCGTCCGTTCGGTTGCACTGGTCACTTAGGCTTTTAGATAGATAGATACTCAGTTTTGATTGAATAAGGTCATATCCTCTTCCTACTTTTATTTTATTTTTTAAAAAGAATACCTTTATAGAACTGAAAATGTTATCAGTTGCAGCTTCCTGTGAAGCGTCCTCATGTGTTTCCAGTGGAAGTGTCACAAGAAAATGAATTTTCTGAGACTCACAGGGAGAATGAGTGGCCTTTATTTGCATGGAAGTAAACCCCTGAGTTTCCAAGGTCTCTTCTTCCTCTGTCCCTCCATGGGAGAAGGCCAGCTTTGTCTTCAGCAGAGCTAGGATTAAAGCCAATGCCCAGTTTCCTTCTGTGTTGGAGTACAGTCCAGTCCTATATCAGGCTAGTTTAGTTTGTGTTCCAAGCGATAGTCCATTGTATGGGTCATGGGTCATGTAACTTCTAGAGCCACATGGCTATGGAGGAAACACAGGCGAGTGCATGGAAGCAGGAGAAAAGTAAGAGGAACAAGAGAGAGAGAATTTCTTTGTAGATTATATATTCCCAAATTTCACAAATTTGCATAGACTCCACCCCTCAGCCAATGATCTTTGTTTCCAGGTTAGACTGACAAGCACCTACCCTATGTCACCTGACTTTACCTTGCATACATCCATCTTCCTGTTGTTGGACCCCTTCCCCCAGAGATCTTCAGGAAGTGGATCTGGGCAAAGTTGCAGCTTCCTGTGAATTTGCCCAGATGGCCATGCTTATAATGTCTGGCCTCCCTTTTGCTTTTTTTTTTTTTTTTTTTTTAAATTATTAACAAGCTAATTACAATAGTAACAGCAGGAAATACAGACAACTAGAGTTTTGAGAAGGGACTTTTGTGACAAATGATGAATATTGTAGGATAATGCAATATGGTTTCTGGCCTGTCAGCCTCCTTTTCCTAGTTATTTGCAATTACAGTAGGACAATTAGATTACAGCTAAAACTTTTTCAAACCCTTGTAGAGAGATGAAAAAACTCATTGAACTGTATCATATTCTAAATTGTAACTGAAATTCAAGATTGACTGTTTGATCGGTTGGGGTTTTAAAATGAAATTTTCTTCTATGTTATTTTTAGAACTGTATGATTCACCATAGAGATTGGTTTAGAAAGTTTAAAAAATATTGATGTTATTTTATTCTTTTCAAATTGATTATGGCCTTTTATTTTTTCTTGTATCCCTCAAACTACCAGTTTCTTTGCCATTCTTAGAACTAGTTGGAATGTATGATTTAGCCTAAAAGTAGAATAAAATAAGCTCTATTTTGTTTTGTGTTTTGGAAAAGCTAAACAGAAGCATAGTTCATGCTATTCTACTCTGGAAATAGGAAACCAAGTGTCTGATCTCATATTTTTATTATCAGGTTACACATCCTAGAAGATATATTTAATGAAATATATTTGATGAAAATAATAGCTCTCCTGAAGGAATGCTTGTGTGTGTAGTTTGTGTACACATATGTGTGTGTGTGCATGTGCATGTGTGCTCATGGCTTTCGGTGTGTGTGGCAGATGCAGGAATTGGGCAATGGTGTGTTTGAATTGGCCAGTGCCATCCTGTCTACAGAAGGCTTCCTTTCCTCTTTTCTCTGCCTGTTCTTCTCTCTAGGAGCCTACTAGCCCTGAAACAATGGAAAGTACTTGTTGCTGCCTTGGCTGTACCCCAGGACTCCTTTCCTCTGTCAGTTCTGCTGTGGTAGACTGTGTATGGTTTTGATTCTATGTCTTGTGTGTGAACCTCAGCCTTGTCACTGCTATGGCTCAACGAGCCTTCTAAGTTGCAGATCTAGTGTTTTTAACTTGCCTGCTGGTTAATCATCTTGGGACACTCACGCCATTCATTCAACACGTACTAGAGTGCAGTCCTGTGCCAAGCACTGACCTAGGTGTGTGTGTGATAGGTATGTGAAAACCACAGAAATCACGGTGCTCCTGGAGCTTACATTGGCTCCTTGATAACTCTTAGGTGCCCCTCTTCTGGGAGTGAGGGGCCATTTCCCCACGCCAGGGAAGTGCATTCACCTACTTGACCTTTTTTGGTTGTTGGGTTTCTCTTACCATTTAGTTTAGCATACAGATGAATTAGACTGTCCTCAGGGGTTTATGAGAGAGAGAGACAGACAGGAAAACATGTAAACCTGTTTGCTCCCCTGAAGGCTGGATCTGTTCTATAGAAAGGAAGGCGGTGGAGGAAAGAACCATTCTCCATCCGGGGCCCGGTTTATGACAGGGGTGCTGTTTGGCTTAGCCTTGTGGTCCCTGGTCAGTGCTTGGAGGGTCTCAGTGTGGCTAGAGGGATGGATTTAGCAGACAGTGAAGATGGAGGGAAGGGATAGGATGGACAAGGCCAAGTGTCGGAGGGCTGTGATTGAAAGCTGCAGAGAAGTCTGAGTTTCAAGAGACATGGACATGACTTGCCCTCCATTTCAGAAGGGCCACCGATGGCAGTGTTTGTAGGATGCGGTATGAGCAAGAGCTGGAGGCAGGGAGACCTGCTGGCCAGTTCTCTTTCATTTGTTCTTCTATTTGTTCACACATACTTAGGTGGGGCTTGCCTTGACTTCATATGTATATGAGATTGTCAGTGTTAGATGCTATCTTAAGAAGAGCGGAGCCAATTTAATGCACTAACTCATCTTTCGAGTTTAAAGTTTGCATTCATGTGTCTTTTCGCTGAGTGACATAGGAAGACGACATTAGAGGGAGGTGACTTTGGGGTGGGCGTGTGGACATCTCCATCTCATCCATCAAGTGTCTCTCGCTCTTGGCTTCACTGGTCAGTGATGTATAAAAACTCAGCGCTCTGCGCCCTCGCCATGGCTGCATGATCCAAGAGTTAATTCAGAGAAAATTTGTCATTTACATTTTGTGATAAGAGCCGCAGAGAAAAACTGGAAGAAATCTAATGGGTTGTCTTGACAAAACGCCTCCACTGCCCTGAAGGAGCCAGCCCACTTCTCCTGGGAGGGAGATTGAATTTTAAACATGTGGTGGTTGTTATTCATGCCCACCCCCCTCCCCCCCCCCCCCCCCCCCGTCTTAAGGTGGGAAATGTTCTTTGGACTGAGTGCCGTGTTGCTCAGCATAAAAGACATGGTGTGGAACTGAGACTAATTGACACGCTCCGGGCTAGCGGGAAGGCGGGCTGCCTGTAACCAGGGGCAGAGCGCACACTCACAGAGGGTCTCCTTCTCTCCTAGGACCTCCTTCGCCGGGCATCTGGCCGGGATCCTCGTTGGACTCATGTACACTCACGGGCCTCTGAAGAAAATCATGGAAACATGTGCAGGTACAGAACAAAACTTCTTCGCATGATCCACTGGAAGGTCATCTTAGTCTTACTAGGGATGAAAGCAACCCCAAGTGACCCCACGGGTCTGCTTAGGAATTCCCAATAGTCTCTTCTTACAACAAGAAGCATAGGAGCTGATACAGCTCCTCACACCACTCCAGAGAGGCTGCAAACTCTCGTTCTAAACCCGAGGCTTTCCTATGCACAGAGAGTGGTTTCTATGTACATCCTCAACATTAATGCTACTCACGGAAAAACCATGGTTTTCTTGAAAATGCAGAGAACGAATGTAGGTTTAAAGTAATGCATTCTTCTACAATATTCCATGACTTCACATATGTGCAAGGCAAAGTTGACAAAGAAAAGTCTGTACTGAAGTGCAAAGAATTCAGAGTGACCACTAGGTCCTGGCAGGAGAGACATATTCACGCAGGGCCAAACCAGGGCTGCTATTGCTTACAGTGTGGCTCCTGCTTTAACAATTTCTTTTTTCTTTTTGTTTCCTTCAAATTGATGCTCAATGAAAAGACTTTATTTTATTTAGAAATATATGAATTCTTTTAGGCCTCAATTTAAAATCTATATTGGTTATGGCTTTTAAGGACGCTATTTTGCAAACACTTTTTTTAAAGGCCTTATGAGTTCCAGTATTTCATCTTTTATTCATGGGAAATCTTTGGAGACTATTTTACCTTTTCTTGAACCACAAATAATTTGTTTTCACAGTTTGTGGCGATGGCTGGTGTTCTTGAGAACCATATAATATTCATGGCATCAGAGAGCTTTCTGGGCCTCGCACTGTTGCCTCTATTAGCAGGCCGTGTTCGCTTCTGGATGATTTTTACAGGCTGTGTTGCAGCTAAGCAGATGCATCTAAGCATTTTTCTACATTTGTTCATGACTGTGTTTCCAGTGATGTGCTTGGAGGAGGCAGTGGGAGCTTCATTAAATTCCACTTTTATTGTATTTTTTGATTCAACTTAATAATGGAAAACTAGTAATGAGCTTTGTTGCCCAAATACTGTCAATACGGATAAAAGAAAAAAAAAATTATATTCAGGAGTTTGTTTTGTTTCATTTTTTTTGTGTGTGTCTGAAGATTCAGTGGTTAGTAATGCTTTTTGCACACATTACAAAATGTAGGCAAGTATTTTGTATGTAAAGATGATTTTTCCCGCAATTATAATAGGTAGATAGAGACATAGATATCTCACATATGTATGATATATATACACACAATGATACAACTTTACATCACAAGGATACATCTCTACACAGTGAAATATTATACAGGCATCCAAGAAGGAAATCCTGCTATTTGCAACAAAATAGAGGAAGATGATGTCTTTACACCAAGTGAATTAAGCCAGAAAGAGAAAGACAAATATTGTATTATCTCACTTGTATATGGAATCTAAACCAGAGAGTAGAACAGTGGTAGCCAGAGACTGGGGGAAGCAGGGAGATATTGATCAAAGGGTATAGCTTCCAGCTATACGATGGGTGTGCTCTGAGGATCTAATGTACAGCATGGTGACTATAGTTAATACTGTGTTATATACTTGACATTTACTGAGAGAGTAAACCTTAAGAATTATCACACGAACACAGAATATGGTAACTGGGAGGTGATTGATGTATTAATTGTGTCAGTCATTTCATAATCTATATGTATATTAAGTCATCACGTGTATAGCTTTAAAGATCACATTGCACAACCTAAATATATATAATTTTTCATTTGTCAGTTATACCTCAAAAAAAAAAAAGCCTTATGGCTATTATTAAAATGTCTGTTTTCTTTATATTTAGGCATTTTTTCCTCCAATAATGGCTACCCAGGACAGCAATACTACTTTAATAATTCAGGTAAGCGCTTTATTTTATTTAATACATAATTTAAAAATTATAATGTTCGCCACTGTGGCGACACTTTAAGGCAATGCTAGTTTATGCTGTTGTGGAGTTCACACATTATGTAATTGTGCCTCTAACATGCCTGAAAGCTTGATTGAGGGGTAGCCTGGGTCAGTTGGTAAGGAAGACCAGGAAAGGAGATAATGACGTTAAAATATTAAACAATTAATATGATGTTTCTCAGACATGATAAGATTCATACTAGACCAGGGCTATTTCTACACTACTACTCTTTATTCTCAGAATAAGAGAACATACCGCTTGCTAAGAATGAGAAGTTAGTTTCACAATTCTCACTAATCCATCCTAACTGAATATTCAGGAGGAATCATACTTATCCTAAGATAGACATTCCTCTGATAGTAATACCATGGGACTTTGTCTGTGTAAATAGGTAAAAAGGACTTCTGGTTAAAGCATGTGACCTGCTTTAGGCTAAGGCCCTGATGGGCCTGCCTGGGGAGGCCTCTTGGTAATATCCTGGACCAGTAGCAGCAGCAGGTCTTAAAGAAGCCAGAGGCCACAGAAGCACTGGGTGTCTTGTAATCGTGCCCATTGAAAACTATTATAGCTTAACTCTGGGGCCTGCAGTCTTTTGTGTGAAGGGCTAGGTAGCTAATGTTTTAGGTTCTAAAGGCCCTATTCCCCATTTGGTCACTGTCACAATTAGTCAGCTTGTTCCTGTAGCAGCCATAGATAATTAATAAAACAATTGCTGTAGCCGTGTCCCAATAATATCCTACTTACAAAAGTAGTCAGGGGGTTGATAGGGAACAACACATTGTAGCTTTTTGACTCCTGGCTCATAGCCTCCCATTCTCTCTGCATGATATTCCTGTTTTTCTTTCAATCATGAGCATAGATACAGTAACTGTCTTTGAAGTCCCTGATTGCTAATTATGTCTTCTCTGTATATGATATTTTATATCTGTTTTATTAGGTTGATTTTTCTCCTGGTTGTGGGTCACAGTGTTTGCATATCTAATAAGATGTGATTGGAGGCTACACATTCCATATGGTGTGATGCTGAGCGCTGGAGTTTACCTTCTTCTAAGAAGAAGGACTTTGTCTGACATCCTGTTAAGTTCTGTGATGACTAGTTTGTTCCTTCTGGTGCTTGTTTTAAAATTATTTAAGGTGGATCTAAAGTTTATTTTTAGGGCTATTTCTGCACTATTATTGAGGTATCTGTTCTGGGATCTCTCCTGAATGGTCTGGTGAAAGTTCACCTGTGCACACGTGGCATAATAGTCAGCAAGTCTCAGGGGGGCTCCGTGCGTATTTCTAGATGTTTCTCTGACATACAGTTTTCTCCTTGGCTATAACGTGGTCCTGTAAATTCCTACGCAATACAAGGGCCTGCTGTGGCTGCTTGTGTTCCCCATCCCTGTTACTGCTGTCTGGACAGTGCCTCAGGCCCATTTCCTTTACTTCCTTTCTCTAAAGGTTCAAAATCCTGTGCTGCCTATGTGCAGCCTGGAAACATTTGTTTTGTGTATCTTCTCCAATCTCCTACTTGAGCATGGACTTGAGCTAGTGCAGCCCTGTTCCTCCCTTGTGGCTGGAGAAGCCCATCCAGCACCTGGAACCTAGTGTATTAAGTGCTCAGCCCTGGGGGAAGCAGGGATTTGAGTTCCTGGACGTTACCCGGAGGAAGGCTGCGTCTCCATCAATGAGGAGAAGTTAAGGAAAGCCATGGCAGAAGGGCTCCAGGCCTTTATGAAAAAACCTGTTTGGAATTATCCAGAACATGCTGGGATGCCACTGAAGGATTCAATCAGAAGAGTGGTTCTATTGGAATTACATTCAACTATGTTTTTGATGTAGTTCTAAAGACTGGGATTATGAGTATCAGTCCTGGCTGTCTGTATGAATCAACTGAGGAGCTGGTACAACATATCCATACCTCGAATTCACCCACACCAGCTAAGTCTGAATAGGGGTGGAGACAGGGACTTGGACTCTTTTTTAAAAAGCTTCCTAGATGATTCTAAGGGGATCAGTATGGAAAAGCATAGGCTTACCAGATGGGGGGTTACCTAGGTGTGGCGAACACAGAGTCGTCGCTGCGGCAATCCCGGGCTAGTAATGTGCACAATTAACATCCTAGAAATGGGGCCTCCATGCCAGAGAGGGACAGTTGCTGGGCAGTGTCAGCTCACCTGCCACTGTCTGTGGACCCACCTAAAGAGAGGAAGCGCAATGATTAGCGATCGACACAGTTACTAGATAGAGTTGGCCCTTGACTAGCAGGTATGAACTGCGTAAGTCCATTTATATGTGGATTTTTTAATAAACACAGTACTATAAATGTATTTTCTCTTTGTTAATATTTTCTTAATAACATTTTCTTCTCTCTAACTTAGATTATTGTAAAAATACAGTATATAACACATATAACACCCAAAATGTGTGTTAATTAACTTTTTATGTTAACGGAAGCTTCTGGTCAGTAGAAGGCTATTAGTAGTTATATTTTGGGGGAGTCAAAAGTCATATGCATATTTTTTTAATACAATGGGGGAGGGGGCAGTCAGTGTCCCTAACCTGAACATTGTTCAAGGGTCAACTGTAGAGCCATTTGGGTCCTGTGGTAGTTGGCTATGGAGAACAGTCTGCACCGACTTAAGTATAGTAGGGTTTAGTTGACCTATATGACTAAGAAGAACTGGGTTGGACAGGAAGACCACTTTGATTGTACCTCCCATGGTGATTTCTCTCTTCTCAGTGACTATTCCCTCCCCTGGACAGGCTACAAGGCCACTACCACATTGATGTTGCTAGAGGAAAGAGGGCTTCTCTCTTGGTTCATTTTTTTAAATTCCCCAAAGAAACAGGAATGTTCCTCTGGACAAAAAGAATAAGAACATATCTTTACACAGACATGGCTTAAACTAGCATAGATTACCTAGTCCTGGCCTTGTGTGACGGCTTGTAAATGTTAAGTAATTGGGCTGAAGTCAAACAGGTTGTTAGTGATAGAACCAGGACTGAAAATGTCAGCTACTGATTCCTAGCCCCTGTCATTCTGCTGATTTAATCTTACAAAACAGAGTAGTCCCCCTTATTGTCTTTTCCTCCCCTTTTTATTGCGCTTATTTACAGGGAGGTGGGGTGGGCTTGCTTCTTTCTTGCTACATATGGAAGAGGCATAAGTACAGCAGACACACAGACTAAGGAATTAAAGGCAAAAACAAAAAGCTCCCTTTACTGTTCTTCTTACTGCTGTGATTGCCACATTTGTACTCCTTCCTTTGAAGGGTTGGGTTTCTTCAAAGGCAGAGCTCCCTAAGGCCAGGTGGCTGGGCTAATGGTCATCGAGGGAACTTTTACGAGAGCATATGTATCTCCTATAAGTAATGATTTATTCTAACTATGGCTCTCCTTAGCTGCAAAAGTCTTTACAGGTCAGAGAACCTCATGAATGTTTAAAAAGCTGCTACCAATTTTTCTAATCTTGGTGGTGTTTCTTGATCTCTTTTGCCATGAAGTTCTGGTATGTGTATAAGGAACAGATGGAGGAGTAGTTAATGAAATAACGATAACCAGAATTTCTTTTACTGCAGAGCCAAAGTCTGAGGCTACAAAGGAATATTAAACTAGTATTCATCACAGGATGTAATTTAAACTTATTCATCGTAAGTGTTTGATTGTTAGGTTTTTCCAGCCATGTTTATTATGAAGATTTAAAAATGTCTGATTGGGCCAGCGGAACAGCTGTAGAAAATTTATGGTCCTGGGAGACCTGTTCTCATTATAACAGACATGGATGAGATTTTTGTTCTTGTTGATGATTTATGACTGATGATATAGAACCTTTAACCACACAAATCCTTTTGACTTGAGGCACTAAAACTTTCTCTTTCCTTCTCCTCATGTTTTGTCTGAGTAGTACTGAATTAGATTTTATAATATTCAGATGTTTAGAGTTGTAGGCTTTATTTCATTAAGGCTGGGTGTGTGGGTTTTTTTTTTTTTTTTTTTTTTTGAAACAACATGAAAAATGTTGCCTCAAATTATATGAAACTTGCCTGGAAATTAAAACTCTATAGGTATGTGTGGTATTTCTGGTATCTGATAGGTTGGGTATTCCGTGCTTTTGAGTTAATTTGGATTTTGAATTAGCTGAACGTGTTCAAAGATAAATAGGTAGAAATGCTGCTTAGACTTTCTGTAACAGAATGACTTTCCACAGGGGTTTGAAAGTGGTAATAAGCCATAGGGGAAAGTGCCCAACATGCATTTTTGTTGCATTAAAATAATTGGCACTCTTAAGGAATTGGACAGTCTCTTATTTGGGATTGCTGAAGTATCCCATGCTATTCAGTGACTTATCCATAAATATTCTAGTATGTTTTAGAATGCCCCTCTCTTGTTCTTTGTGAAGTGGATATATTGTTTGTGTTTTGACCTTTGTCCTTATGTGAAGTTGTGCGTGTGTGTGTGTGTGTGTGTGTGTGTGTGTGTGTGTGAAGTATAAAAGCAAGATTTGTAGCTGTGCCACACTCCTTCCTCTCAGGATATGAAAATCACTGATGGGTGTTTCCCATAGCAGTGGGAGCTGAATGTTTTTAATAGTTCTATTGAGTAGAGACCAATGAGGAAGGGCATCCATATTTAAAATTGTGTCCAGATCCCACTTCAGCCCTAAGCCATTGTGAGGATTTGGGAAATTTACTTATATCCTTCTTCTGTTTTAGATATTACAATGTTTATATTTTTACATGAGAAACGTATGAGAGAATGTGGAAGTTGGGTTATTGGCAGTAATTAGCAAGGCTTGTCAGAATTAGCTCCTTCCCAAAGTCCTGAGCTATTTTGTTTAATTTTTATTTAAGTCATTCATTTTTGTGCTTTCAAGGACTTTCAGTAATGTAGTACCAAGTAATCAGTAAAAGTAGACAAAGGCTCTGGATAGACATTTCTCTAAAGAAGATGCACAAATGATCAATAAGCACAGGCAAAGATGTTCCACATCATTATTATAAAAACCATTTAATACCCAGTAGGATGGCCATAATTAAAAAGACAAATTATAACATGTGTTGACAAGGATGGAGAGAATTCTGAATCCATCTACATTTCTGTGTGAATGTAAAATGGTGCGATCACTTTGGAAAACATTTCGTGAATTTTGAGTGGTTAAACAGAACTACTGTGTGACCCAACAATTTCACTCCTAGGTTTGTAACCAAGAGAAGTGAAAACGTGTGTCCACACAATAACTTGTACACAAATGTTTATAGAAGCATTACTCACAATAGTTAAAAAGTAGAAATAACCCAAATGTTTACCAGCTGATGAATGAATGAACTAATGTATATTCATACAATGGAATATTACTGGGCCATGAAAATGAATAAAGTACTAATTTATGCTACAACATGAGTGAACCTTGAAAACATTATGCTAAGTGAAATAAATAGGCACATATATAGAAACAGAAAGTATATTAGTGGTTTCTTAGGGCTGGGTGGCCTGGAGGAGGTGATATCTAAAGGGGGTGATATCTTTTGGGGGGTGATAAAAATGTTCTAAAATTGATTATGGTGATGAAGGCCACTGAGTTATATACTTTAAATGATGAATTGTATAAGATGTCATATCTCAATAAAGCTGCTGTTGCACATAACCAATAGATATAAATACTTTATATGAAAAATATTTTTATAATATATATAATTACATTAGAATGTCAGCTGAAACTAGATTAGTGTGTTTTATTGTCATTTCAGTGTTTATATGAAAGTAAAGACCTTTAGAGTGCCTAAAAATTCTTATGGGAAATAGCTAATCTGCGCCCCCTCCCCCATCTTATATATTAGAAAAGCCTTTTGTTCATAACCAAAACAAAAAGTAAATTTTAAAATAGTTTCAGGACCAATTATTAAAAATTCTGAATATGACTAGAATCTACCCTACAATGTTCCTCTTTTTGGCTTGATTGTGAGTTCTCCTCCCCCTCCCTTCCTCTCCCCTCCATAGTCTTATTAAAGCAATAAGAAGCTTAAACCCAGCCCTAACCAGTTTGGCTCATTGACTAGAGCACTGGCCTTTGGACTGAAAGGTCCCAGGTTCAATTCCAGTCAATTGAATTGTGGGCACATAGTAGGAGGTGTGCAGGAGGCAGCTGATAGATGTTTCTCTCTCATCGATGTTTCTAATTCTCTATCCCTCTCTCTTCTTCTCTGAAAAAAAAAATCAATAAAATATATATATTTTTTAAAAATAAGAAGCTTAAACCCAGACAAGTAGTGTTGGTTGATAAGGAGATATATGACACAAGACTCACAGTAATGGGTAGGAATTTTCATCAACAAAAAGCATATAAATTAAACATTTGAAACATTGTCTTCAAAGGGTATAAAAGGAGGAAATATATTAAAAGGACTATTACTTATCTCTCAATACACCAGAATTAGACAGGTAATTTGCTATAGGGGAAAAAAAAATCTCTTCCAAGCAAATTCCATAAAAGTGAGAGATTAAAGAAGATATAAAGAGTAAACTCAAACTGACTTTAAAAGAGTGATGGGAATTCCTTGCAGAAGTGAACTTTGCTCTGTAATTAACATTTGTCTTTTCTCTCATTTTATCTAGTAACTGATTTCTTAAAAGTACTGTTAATACAAACTATGATCTCTAATATGAAATTCTAATCACACATTGGCTTATATATTTCAACATATGTATTATATTACAACACAGAAATCTGTAGTATATGTATTAACTTTTGATTTGTCTCTCATTACATGGGACCACTGGACAGTAAGGCTTTATCAACTATCATTTTAATCATTCCCTTGACTCCAATCAGGACCTCACTGAAAATTCACCAAGTATTAAATAGCTCTAAACTGAGATATTTAGTTTATATGTCATTAGCCCATTTGGGTCCCCTCTCCAGTAGCACTGACTGCCTTCTAAATTAATATCTTGTTCCTCTTCAACACACTAGGACTTGCTCATGTCTGGCCCCATGTTGAGCTTTGTGGATACTACAGTGACAAGACAATTGTTGCCCACCCTCATGGAGGAATTCTCCAGTTGTCATCTTCTCTTATTTTGAGGATTATTATTATATTCAGAATAATGACATGAATTGTTTTAATGTCTCTGCTTACAAAATAGGACATTTGAAAAAACACTCCAAGACAGTGTTCTATAACCTTTTCATTGTGCCTGTAGGCTACTCTGGATCTCAGGATTATTACCCATATGCCAGGCCACGTTACCAGGAAGACGCATCCAGGAACTATGATGCCTACACAGGAGGACTGAGTGAGGAGGAACAGCTGGAGAGAGCACTGAGAGACAGCCTCCGGGACCGAGGTAGGAATCTTGTACTCTTCACTTCCTTTAAATCATACCTCACCTGGGGAGATGGCCTAACAAAGGAAACTTTAAATAGTTTGTGAAAAGGATATGTAGATGGAAAAATGTGTGCACGTTGTGATTACAGAGAATGAGGTGTGATGCCGTATTCCAAGCAACCTAGGCTCCTGAGGTGCCAGACTATGTATGCGTTGTTGTAGTGGGTCTTTTTATAGGCCTCCTGCACTCAGCGCTGTGGCATTAAAGTCAAGAAATTGTAAAAAACCGGTGGGATGACCTGACATCGTGTGTCTCTTTATATGATGCAGGATGAGCAATGCAGCACCACGTATTGCTAAAAATGTTTACACTGACCCTAATTAAGTCATCAAATGTGAGTGTCACTACACAGGAAATGCAGGGACTAGCAGAACAAGCTGAATAATGCCATTGAGAAATAACCAGGCAGAATGTGAGATTTCTACAATTCAATGAGGCTAGTCTCCTGGGGGAAAATGTCATGAAAAGAGCAGGATGTGGTTTTCTATTAAAAGGAAATAATCAAATGTAACATGAGAACCTTGAAAAACTGGCTATAAAAGACATTTTTTAAAGAAAACCGGGGGCTTTTGTATTTGGACTAGATATTAGATACCATTCGGGAAATAATCTAGCTTTCTTTGATGTGACAGTGATATTGTGGTTAAGTAGCAGAACGCCCTTTATTCCTGGGAGGAACACATTGAAGTATTTAGAAGCAAAATAATATGATACCGGTAATCTGCTTTCACAGGTCAGCCAAAACAACTTTCTCCTCTCTCTTTGCCTTGTTCTCTCTCTTGCTCCTCCCTCCACAAGTTCTACACTCACCTGAATTTGGGAAACTCTGCAAACTATACCTCCTTGAAGATCCTGATTAACACTAGTATACAGACGATCCAAATTAGCTCTGCAATCAAGATGCCAATTTTATAAGTAATGCTTCCACAACGTGTTTGACCACAGAACTTTATTTTCAGTAGATGATTTTAGGAGTATAGGCATCTATTCCAAAGAAACTGATTGAAAGAGACTTCTTGAAGTACATTATATAGTAATTGGTGACAGCAACGTGTTACAAATTGTTTACTATATTAATTTCAACTTTCTTTTTCTTACAACGCTTTGTGATTATCTTAAGAATGAGACATTTTTGAAAGACCTGTATTATATTTTAGTCCTTTTCTCTGTGGAAAAAATATTTGGTTTGAGTATATTTTATAAAATTCTGACCATATAGTACAAACTATTTTATACCTTACTTTTTTTCATTCAATATTATGTTGTAATAATATTGTAATCATATTTTCTAATGTAATCATATTTTCACACCACTGAATTTTGAACGTGTTGTCCTTTGTATTTATTCTTAAATGTATACCTAAGAATCTCTTTATTTGTGGACAGAGAACTATGATACATTATAAATAGTGCTTGTAAGAAAAGTTCTATATTTTTGAGATGATCATATACTTTTTCTTCTTTGGTCTTTTGACATACTCAATTATTTTGATTTTCAGAGTTGAAGCAGGTTTGTACCCCAGGAGGAATATCACCTGGTTGGGATGTTTTATGGTCCCTCCTGATGGCAATGCTGCATGCACCTGAACAGAACCTGTGTTCTGCTCTAGCTGGGCGACTGTTCTACAAGTGATCATAAAATTAACTGAGCCGATGGCATTGCTCAGGTGTTCTGTATCCTACTGATTGCCTGTCTACTTGTTCTGCTGAATGCTGTATTTTTTACTTACACAGAATTCCCTGGAGTGATACTGAACATAGATTGTTGCTCAGGGTACCCTCAGTGCACCAAGGGTTCCTCTAGTGTAACCTTGTTTTTGGGTGGGGGCTGAGTTACCTGCATTTCAATTCCATGCCTTTACTTCACACCAGAACTTGGCAAGCTTCTCTGTCCATTCTTGTTGTCGCCCAGGGGTACACCCTACTTTTTAGTCTGGTGGTGGGAGGCAAGTAGGGGTATGCTTTCATTCCCCACCACATCCGATATTTATGTTTTCTTTCTATATAGAATAAGCTATGTTTAAAAACATTGAATCATAGTTGGCATACAATATTATATTAGTTTCCGGTGGAAGAACACAGTGATTCAACATTAACTCTTTGTCTGAGGCATAACTGTTTCTGGTTTGGAGGTGTAGCCTTCTCAGTATTCCTGTCCCTCCTACGTGGTAAAGAAGGTGTTTTGTTTTGTTTAGCCTTTCTCCAGTCCTTTAAGGATTCTGTGCCATAGGGAGGCCTGGAGAAGGATTTAGGCTGCTCTGGATATAAACCTTACCTGCAATGGCTGATTTCTCTCCCCAGGAGGAGTTCCTCTGGACTCTTACCCATATCTTAGGTGAGGACCCTGTGAGATCCAGAGAAGAGCTGAAAGTGGGTGTGAATTCCTTTATATTGCAGCCCCCAATATATTCTGTATTTCATAATCTATGAATAGATTCTGTGTTCTTGCTAGCTCACACTTGAGCTATTTGCTAACAGTTTTGGCTAACATCTTGTTAGTGCCAGCAGTGTCTTCTAGGTGAGCAAGAGCCCCTCTACCGTTTTAGACTTCCGTTAAGTTGGGTGCCCTATGTCTCAGCTCTCTGGTGGGTTCAGAAAAGGTTAGTTATTTCCAGAATGTCCATCCTTTATGTTTATTATGAGGATGGGAGTGATGTTTTCTCAGCTTTCTCCATCCCCAGTGGAAGCTGGGAGCAGCCCTTATTTTTCACCGTGTCTTGAATCTCTCATTTCTAGTACTTTTATTTACTAGGGTTTCAGCTTTTTTTAAAATAAAGATCTTTCCCCCATGATGTAGGTAGAATCTATAGTTGGCTTTAAAAAGGCTGGGTAAAAGCTTAATTTTTTTGTCTTTGATTCCCAGTTTTTACAATAAGAAGTTAGTGTAATAGTCAACCAACCACACTGAGATTTGAAAGGGCCAACTAACAGAATTCATTTTGTAGAATGCCATTTTAGCAAGAAACATCCAGAACCAATTAGGTTCAAACTGATCTTCAGTTAAATATATTAGAAGAGTAAGTTAAAGAATCAAGGCAGTACCTTTTTAACCTTAGGCTTGGCTGTTGTCATATTTCTTAACAGTATCTGACCATACACATTTTGGGGCTCATGCTGGAACTAATTGTACCAAGATGGCCTCTGTAGAAGAAATAGCAAGACCCCTATTATTTCAAGGAGCTCGCACATTACTACTCTTAGTGAAATCTTGCCTCGTTTTGTTAGCAGTTTCAGCTTTTATAATCAAGTCCAAGAGGCAGCTGATACCACAATAATAGAACAGTTTTGGGAAAGGGCCAGCTCTTTCATTGAGTCAAAAGGCAGATGCCAGCTAGGAACATTAGCTCATTGCATTTACTGCCCCCCACCCCTCACTCCATCCTTCCATGTATAATTTGTGCTTTTTTTTTTTTTTTTTTTAATAGCCTGCTACCAAGTTCAGCTGGTGGCTGGGTACAAAGCTGTGTCCTTTTCAGCTTCTGTCTGCCAGCCCCGCACATGTGTGCTGGTTACAGCTGGAACTGCTTGCTAACACGTGGAGTAACTGCTTCTAATCCTAGACTCTTCTGAAAGGCAAATGGCCCCGTTGCACTCGGTTGTCAGTGTGGATCAGGCAGTTGTCATCCCCTCCCCACACTGTGCAGTTGGGGACACCGATGAACCATGTGGGGGCCTTGGCAGCAGCAGACTGGAACTGGCTGCAGCCTTGTGTCACAGGCCTGAGATATAAAATGACCAGGAAGCCAAACCGGAAAAAAAAGTATTTAGGTTTCAAATTAATATATAGTTCTTCTGTTATTACCGGATCATTTGACGTTGCCTTTGAATCTTGTTTATAGGTAGCATGTGCATGGGAACAACTGAGATACATTTTAAGTCAAAAAGACAGAATTCGTTTCCACTCAGTTGCACATTTTCTTTTTACTGAAGCTGTACCAAGGTATCTAAAAGCAGCGTCTGTCCTGTTCCTTTATTATTGTGTAGAAACTTTTGAGAAAAATGGAATAAATTATGTCCATGTTCTTTTAATCATTCATGGTGAGGCTCACAGAGGAAAGGAGGGCGCCTGAGCTTCAGCCTCGTGAGAGAGGGCGCTATGCGTGTGTTAACACCTGCCAGGTGTGTGCTGTGATTGCTGTGTGGTTCTGCTTTTGTCTTGCCATGGGAATGGACAGCTCTCAACTCCTTTTCTGGAAATCCTTTCTGAATTGTAGATGTTCTGAGGTGTACTGGGCTGAGGGCCTGAGACTAAGGATAGGTGCTGGAGCTCATGTATTATGGTCTTTTAGATTTGGGTAGCATTTGTTGTCTTGGTTATAAAAGTAATGGGGGAGTGGTGGTTCTCTGTTCTTCTAGACCATCTGGCTGGTCTAATAATTAAATCAAAATGAGACAGATTAACAAAAGCAAACAAACAAAAAGAAAAATTTAATTACATACGTTTGTATGAGAACTCCATGTATATACGAGAGTCGGACACCCACATGCACAAGAGGCGCAGAGACAGAAAGGGAAATGAAGTATGTGTGACAACCTGAGCCAAGATGAGGGAAGGTGCCTGGGCTTCAGAGGGAAGAAGATCATAGCAGGATGATAAGAAGAGCAAATGCTCAGTAATTAGGTAGAAGTTTGTCCTTCCCTATAAATGCAACATAAAATGTTATTTTTGGTAATAATTATTGGGGAGGCCTGTTCTGAATCCCTTAAAAAAATGTATAGTTACCATGGAAAGTGTCCATCAACAAAAAGAAGACAAAAAATAATTCATAATCCCACTACCCAGAAAAGAATCACATAACATTTGAGGTGCACCCTTGCAGCAACCTGTAATACAGGCACAGAAAAAAAACACACACACAAAAAAAACACTGTGAATGTTTTGGAGGAATGTTTTCTAGCTCATTGAGCATAAAGTGCCTCTTTCCTGTTGGTTACTGTAGTAGGGAAGCTCACATACC